CTGACTTTTGCATTATTTAATGTCCTTACCTGTTGGGAGGGACAAGGTACTATTAGCCTCAATGTGATTGTATTTCCATGGTTTTTAAATTCTTGTAGGTGATTTTTTTCACTAATGAGAGCAAGTTCTCGGGAATATGGTGGCCCACAGCGCTGGCCACACTGGTAACTCTTATTTGCTTTTCCTTTGGCTGGATTTCTTCAATCATGATGATTTAACCGATTGATTTGAAAGTGGGGAGGGGAAAGGGCAAATTGTACAAACCTCTTCTGCAGTGCTTGAGGTAGAGGAGTGGGACATATCCCAGAGGGGTTTCTTTTATCTTCATTTGTTTTAAGATAAACTTTTCTGACTTCTTGTAATCGTTCTGTACTTCATATTCAGTACATCATTGCTAGCATGATGTACATTTACTGGACTTGTTCAGGAAACCTAAAGAACCTGTGTCAGTTACTGAAAAAAAGTATTGGCATTGGTTAAAAACATTCAGAAGCTATTTAATTTGATAATTTTTAATCACCAAATGAGCAAATGAGCAAATGAGCTCATTTAATCACCAAATGAGCAATTCTTTAAAGAAAAGGAATCTATACCTCATGCAGTCTCTGGTCTTGAACAATCAAGCTTAGGAGAGGTGAGTTGGCACAAGGTTTCATAGAAAATGTTTAGCAGAGTCAAGCTTACAGCCCAGCTTATTGCCCTGCACCTGCATTTGCACAAACTTCCAGTTTTTGCAATTGAGTTTATTGCATTGGATTAACCTAATTTTATTTTTTAAATCTTTTTCTTGTGAATTGAATATTTATCTTAAGTAGTGATTGCAAGTAGTGCTTCCATATAAAAATTTGCTTCTTGGTTATTAGTTATCTTTGCTGAGTAACATAAACCAAATGTTGTAGCAGTACATGTATTATCTCAGTTTCTGTAAGACCATAAAGCCACTCAAGACTTTACTGGGTCTCTGCTTCAATCTCTTACAAGGCTATGATTGTGATGACAGTCCAGGGTCTATAGGCTCTTCTGAAGGGAATGGTCAGCCTACAGCTATTGGAAGTTTTCAATGAACTCCTCTTGATTTCCATTGCTAATTGGTATGTGACCAAATATTACATCCTACTTCTGGATTTGTACTCTGCTCAAGATGACAGATTGCTTCCTTATGGTTTGCAAGTCAGAGAACCAATAGAGTCCAATATTAACATAGATATTATAATATTTTGTCATTGAGATGCCGTTCTTTCAGCATTGCTATATTCTATTGCTGGAAGTAAATTGCTGAGAGATGGAGCAAAACTGTCAGTAGCTAAAAGCAAGGTCATCTTTAAGGATGTTTACCTTATCAACTAACTTAGTTTGATAATAATATAGGCACCTTGAGTTTCTGAGGTCATCATTTGCCTATTGTTCCTTTTCCTACTCTTTTACTTCAGACTTTGCAGTTTCCATGTTTAATAATGCCTCTTGCAAAGAATATGAAACTCACTTTGGTTTTGTAATCCAACTAAAAACTGTTGTCTTTAACTGGTGAGTTTAATCTATTAATGTTTATCAGGGCTATTGATATATTTGCACTTTTGTTTACTATTTTCTTTATGAAAGTTATTATAAGCACTGTGACTTACAAAATTGTTATGGTATGGTTTCAAATATAAATATTCCAGCAGCATACTCTCTGCCAGTGTCTACTTCCTTCCACAATTGTTGCAGTAATCCCCGCCTGCTCCCTTTCTTCTCTGCACCTTCATACTTCCAGTTGATATGCTTTCTACTGAAAACCAGGTCTAAGTTTCTATTGCCTTTGAACTCTTGTTACTCCCACGGGGTTGTTTTTTTTGTTGTGGTTGTTGTTGTTGTTGCTTTTGCTTTTTCTTTCCTAACATTGATCATAGGAGAGAGATTATTCTGTGTCCCTCTCCTTCTGATTAAATTAACTCAATATGACACTCTCCAGATCTGTCCTCATAGCAACAAATTGCATGATTTTATCCTTTCTTAAAGCTAAGTAATATTTCAGTGTGAATATGTTCCATAATTTCTTTATCTGCCCATCTGTTCTAGGACATTTGAGTTCTTTCCAGATTTGGACTACTGTGAATAGTGTTACAGTTAACAAAAGGATACAAATGTCTTTTCTGAATAAAGTTTTTGGAGTCTTGGGATAGAGGCCAAGAAGTGGAATTGCTGGGTCAGCTCAATCCCCAGTTTTTTGAGAAGTTTTTTGAGAATCCAGATTGTTTTCCCAGAAGGGCAGACTAGTGAACATTCCCACCTTTTTTTCATGAGGGTCCCCTTTTTTCATAGTTACGCCAACACTAACTGTTCACTATTTGTTTTCTAATTTGATCTAAACCTTTATATTCCTTTATTCTCAATTGAAGAATTTTTTCTTTTTTTAACTAACAATAGAAAATTATAAATTTTATTCCTATTTTTGATAATTAACTGTTATTCACCATTCACAATGAGCAATGCTCAGGGGTTTGGGCCCACATGTAAAATTAAGTGTTATAAAGCTCTTTAAAAAATTCAAAAAGAGAATTATGTATCAACTTCAGATTTATTTCATTATTAATGAGAGGTAGTGCAATCTAAGAAGCAAGGGGGCAGGGGAAAAAGCAGGAATGAACAATAGCTAAATGAATTTGTATTACTTGCTCATTGCTGGAGTGATAGCACAACGAGTAGGGTGGTTGCCTTGCACGCGGCCAACCCGGGTTCATTTCCTCCGTCCTTCTCAGAGAGCCCAGCAAGCTAACTAGAGTATCCCTCCTGCATGGCAGAGCCTGGCAAGCTCCCAGTGGCATGTCTGATACGCCAAAAACAGTAACAACAAGTCTCACAATGGAGACGTTACTGGTGCCTGCTCGAGCAAAATTGATGAACAATATCAAGACAGTGCTGCAGTGCTCATTGCCACTAAATGTGACTGGTTTTTTCATAGAATAAGACAAAACTATGCACTAACATCTCAAGAAGTCACATAAACTGCTTCTCAGTATCAGCTATCTCATTGAATGAGTAAGAATTTGTTCACTGGCTACTGCCATTAAAATTTTGCCCTGTAAGGCACTGACTCCTTCATATTCTCAGTTTCTACACACTGAGCAGTCTTTTCAATGTTTTTCAACTACATAGCAACATGGAAGCCCAGAGACAAGAGATGAGATTCTGAGGTGCAGGCACAACGTAGGACACTTTCAGACTGCACCTGTAAGAAGCTGGTTAGAGCCCACACAGAGCTGGTTGTTACAATAGTGACCAGAATGTGAAACAGGTGAGTTCAAATGCATCAGACAGAACATGTTCAGTGTCTGGTACAGGGTCTACATCTGGTATCTTTGTTTTTGCTGATTCTTACGCATGATGATTTATTTTCTTGTGTCCTTAATTACCTTTCACTAAGTTCTCAGTTGCTTGATTATACATTTTGGGAATTCTTGTGGACTAAATTAAGGACAATTTCTTTTTCACTCCTCCCCAAATTTGTTTCATCTGGCAGCCAGAATGCTGCTACCTACCTAGGGCTGCTCTATTTCTAGATTCCCAGCTTAGTGGGAACACATGAAGATAAATGACTTCACAGTTCATTTATGAAATTGAACTTCATAGTTCAACAAAGGCATTTTCACCAGAATACAGCACACTAATAACAGTGTTTATTTTTAAAAACATCTTGCTTTCCATATTTTTTACAGGTCACACTCAGGTTTTTATGATTCCTTCTTTTGAAAAGGAGAATGGATACTAGAAATGCCTTGCTTTCTGAGATGTCAGCACTGCATGCAACAGTATATTATATACATTGTGTGCAGTGGGAGAGCGCTTCTGTATATCTGCTTGATATACTTTTGGAAGTAAAGTTGCTCTCTCTGTTGTTTTTCAAAACTAGAAAATGTGAGAATAACAGTGACCAAAGAGGGACTTCAAAAGATGATGAACAGCATTGATCTCACTCTAGATAAGACTGAAATTCAAATGCTACTCTTGTGTTCTCATTTCTGCTACTAGGATATGGCACCATTTTCCATGTTTCCTTGGGAGACTGAGTTCAGGCTGTCTGTGGGAAAGGATCTAAACCACTTTCTACAAGGTCTGCAAGCTGTGTTCTCAAGCCTGCTGGAGCATTAGTCATGCTTGACATTCCTTCTCTGCAGGTTTGGCTCTGAAGCAGGTGTGTTTTCGAGTTTGCACTGACCACAGGTGTGAGTGACACAGGCAGACAAATGTGAGATATGAAAAATACAGGCTTTAGCAGTGTGACCAGGTGTGTCAGGAGCTCATCTCACCACTGAGCCCCAGGGGTCTGGCCTCCTCCTGGTGGAAATGGAGTGAAGTGGGCACAGAGGGAAAGCACAAACCCTGGAAAGATGAAACAAAGATGCTATTAGACCGAGAAAGAAGAAGTGACCTTACTTAGACTCTCAGCATTCAAGGAGACATTAGAACAGAAGGAAATTGAAGATGTGGCCATTTATCCAGAAATGAGAACAGAAATGAAACATGAAGATATAGACAATGAATAGACTTTGTGTGAATAACCCATGAATGCAAAGGGAACAGAATTAGAAAGAACATGAAGGTGTAAGAGAGAATTAAGGATCATCTAATCTAGTGCTTTAAATTTAGGACTCCAGCTTGTAGAGCTATGAGAAAAATTTTTCAATTTCAAGAGCATTTTTTTAAGTAAACTGAATCACTAAAGAGAATATGTTATTATTTTGATTTCTCTATTTTCTCAGAAGAAAACTTTTGGTTATTATTGTGTCTTTCATACCCCTATGGCAGTTGCTATTTTCACTCTTAACAAAGAATAGGATCTATGGCACACAAAATACTTAGCTAAAATGTAAAGAAACTGTTTTGTTTTCATTGAAGTTTTTTTTCCCCCATAATTTTGGGGTTTATAAAGTGACGTGCCAGTAATATAATCCTTCTTTTAAAGAAAATTTAATTAAGTGAAAAAAACTCAAGCTAAGTAAAAATTAGTAAATAAGAATAATATGAATATTTTCAGGGATCATTTCTATAGCTTGTTTAGGGGAGTATCTCTGATCATGTAGAGCACCGGAAACCACAAGGAGCTTCCAAAGCATCTTCTCTTGTGTGTAAAGCAGGTTCTAGGTGTTGCTTTTGCAACTGCCTTTTACCATGCTCATTCTTTTCTTCCCTTAAAAGAGTGAGAGGGAGAGGATTCAGTCTGAGTGGTTTGTTTAAATATAAAGAAAAAATATGGATGTAGTTAGATATGGCACAGTCATGAAAGTAGTATGAAAGTGATGGAGAAATAGGATACGTTGATATGATTTTATGGCTCATACTGGAGAAATTGAGGGAGAAAAATATTATCTTTTTTTCCCCACTTTATTTAAACACTTTGCTTTGAAAAGTGGATTTTGATGTATTTGTCACATCTCAATATTCTAATAAAAATATGATCTGTAGGTCACATAACCCATTAGTATCAAAATGGGAAATAAATATCTTCTGAAATATATCTTCTGAGGTATAACCTATATCTTGGGACACAATTCCTAGCTATACGCCTAAAATTTAGCAACAATGAATATGACATAAGGTAGAGTATTTTAGTCACATAATGATAGCAGATTTTATGCCAAATATTTATTTTGACAGTCCCAAGAATCAAACTGCATGCAAAGCATACGTTCTGCCACTGACCCCCATCATCAGCACGTGTTTTGTGTGTGTGTGTGTGTGTGTGTGTGTGTGAGTGTGTATGTGTGTGTTTGCTTGTGTGTAGAAAATTGAGGTGAAACCATTATGTGAACTTTTAAAAGGTCATAAAGAATTTTTCCCTAAAATCTATAAAAAATGGGGTGTGGCAATAATTAGGTGAAATTTGGTGACTTCTCATGGGAGAATCTGAACCAAAACTAAAAAGCCATGCTATACTGAGCTAGTACTGTAAAAAGAGAATGACCAGATATTTTGAGATATTCAGCAATGAACCTTTGAGTTTTGCTTTTAGTTCATTTCCCTCACCTCTCTCTTTTTTCCCTATTTAACCATACAACCATTTTTGATGCTCCTCGTTCCTTAAGAAAATGGTGTGAATATTCTTTTGAATTTTCAAATTCTGGTGCTGTAAGGAGAAATAATATTGTACGTGGTCTTAGTCAACATATTAAAAGGTCTGAGAGAACATGTTTGTCTTTCCTGGTACAGAGAAGGGACAATGAAGAGATTTTTGTTTTTACTTTCTCCAATTTAAAGAATGTGCAATGCTGAAAAACAGGGAAAGTATATCACCATTGGTGTGTCTGTTGACAGAAGACAAAAACATCAGGGAAAGTTTTTCAGTAAGTGGTCCCATTTTACTTTTTTTGGCTGTCAGTCAGCACAAAGGTAATCCAGGAATCTAGGCACTAAAAAGTGTGTGTCTGGCTGAACTGATCACAGCAGCCCTAACATCATGCGGCCTCTGCTTTCCATAATCAATGCCAGAGCTTAGTTTATTCACCTTATGAGTCCCTTGTGAAATTCCAAACCCAGTACCTGATGGTAACATTTCCCCTAATTGATGCATGTTTGCTCTGGGAATTTCTGTTTGATTAATTATAGGTTTTATTTCCCTCCTCCAATGCTATGATTTTCATGGGTAAAGCTACTCTTCTGATGCTTTGCGTGTGGCAGAAGGTAATGTATTTCTGGGCACTGACTGGGTCCTAATGCTGATCTGTCGACTTGGGAAACTTTTATGTAGGAGAAGACTAGCAAATAAATGTCTAGCCTGGAAGATCTTGGTGAGACATTTTTCTTCAAGAAAGAAGAAAGGAAAGTAAAACTGAGCATAAGATAATGGATTAAACCATTTGTGTTTCAGAATTACTTAGTGAATGTGTGTTTGCTTTGTAAACTGAAGAACTCAGGGCTTAGAGAATTAAAACTACAAACTCAGTAAGAGTAGAATTTTATGTCCAAAACTTACATGTTCTGCTTTATATCATTCTTTTTAAAAAGGTTTACTATGGGGCTGGAGTGATAGCACAGCGGGTAGGGCGTTTGCCTTGCACGTGGCCAACCCGGGTTCGATTCCCAGCATCCCATATGGTCCCTTGAGCACCACCAGGAGTAATTCCTGAGGGCACGAGTCAGGAGTAACCCCTGTGCATTGCCAGGTGTGACCCAAAAAACAAAAAATAAATAAATAAAAATAAAAAGGTGTACTAGAATGCTTTTGTAAATACCTAGACTTAAAAAATATAATTCTACCATCACCAATCTTTATTATCTAATGCTTTTTTTAATGCTGTATTCTCCATTTACTACTAGTTTGAATACTATTTGGAAATTAAGTGCACAATTCAAACAAAGCGTTACATTGCTAGTCCATAATAAAATATATTCTTAGAAATAGTTATACCAGAGTTATTAGAATTAAAATTTCACTTCATTTATTAACCACAGGTCAGTAGTTAAGGAAACTGTATATGGTGACTTCCTGACTCCAGATGCTAGCAGACCCTGGAGAGTTGTTTGCTTCTCTGATGAAGAATGGAATAAGAATAATGCCTGATCTGGCAAGGAATATTTTTATGTAGATTTCTGTCAAGAGTCCCAAACTATTAACTTCCGTTCAAGCCTCTTCTCAGGATTTCATAAGAACCTGTTTTGAGCAGTCATTCCTCTTCATATGTTTGTGTCTCAGCTAAAATGTCCAGTCCCTTTTCAGTAAGTATTCTCATGACCACAGTCAGACTGCTTATGGAATAAGAAAATAAGTTCATCCACAGTGGCAAGGAGCTTGGGGAAGGAGTAACGACTATATTTCTGTCTTTGGAACAATCTTGCTCATGCTTTATTTAGAAATCAGTGTCTTGGAATTTGTAGGAAAGACTCTACCAAAATATGCATATGACTGGGTACTATTAGAATTGGTGTGTAGAATGTGCTGAATGTACATTCACCCTGAATAAAATTGAATATTTACCTGGGAAGAAAGAGCAGAGAAGGGATGGAGCATTGACTGTCTTTGCTCCACGGAACTTCCTTTACCTCTGAAAAACCTATAGTGTGGTCTCCATTCATTCTGGTTTACCTTGGACAGTCAAAAAATATGTCTCTTAAACCTGTATACTTATTTGTGATGACCTCTCTCAAACATTTCCAAATAAAATAAAAATGATGACCGTACATTAATATTAATAAGAAATTATCCAAAATATTTTAAAAGGATAAAAATTCAAACTACCTTTACTTGAAACCAGACTTAAAACCAAGTCAGTCTTCTATTTAGAAAATCTCAGAAATATTAAAAATGGACTTACAGTCTCCCAGTGAGTGACATATTACAGTGGTTAAGGTTTATTGGCATTTAACCAACAAAGACTTTTTTAATTTAGATTTTTATTAGTGAAAAACCATGAGGTACAGTTGTAGATTTACAAACTTTTGTGCTTGGGTTTCAGTTATACAATGATCGAGTACCCATCCCTCCACCACTGCCCATTCTCCACTACCACTGAACCGAGTATCCCTCCCACCCCCCTCCCACCTCCCATCCCACCCTGCCTCTGTGGCAGGGCATTTCCCCTTGTTCTCTCTCTCCTTTTGGGCGCTGTGGTTTGCAAAAGAGGCACTGAGTGGCAATCATGTTCTGTCTAGAGTATATTCTCAGCACGCATCTCCCATCCTGTGAGGATACTGCCAACACCCTTTATTTGTTCCTCCCTTCTCTATCTGAAGCAGTCATCGAAGCCCTAGGCAATCAGGGCATTCAAGCTCAATACATCAACATCCTCCGTGAGCTGTATTATGGATTCACTACCAGGATCTCACCATTCTACAAAGAAGTAATCATTGATGTCAAGAGAGGGATTTGGCAGGGTGATACCATTTCACCGAAACTCTTCAGTGCCACCCTCGAGAACATCATGCGACGACTGGAATGGGAAGGAATGGGAGTGAAGATAGATGGTCGGCAACTACACCACCTCCGCTTTCCTGATGACATTGTTTTAATAACACCAAACATTAGCCAAGTGGCACAAAAGCTGGCCAACTTCGACCGTGAGTGTGGAAAGGTAGGACTACAGCTGAATCTTACGAAGACAATGTTTATGAGAAACAGCCTCGTTCCTGATGCCCCATTCACTCTCAACAGAACAAAAATCTCTGAATGCAACAGCTATGTGTACCTAGGTCGAGAAGTCAACATGACAAATGACCTGTCACCCGAGCTGTGCAGGAGGAAGAGAGTGGCTTGGAACGCCTTCAAGAGCGTTTAACCAACAAAGACTTTTCGAAGAAATAGCTAAGAGGACGAAGAACTTCCAGCTCCGGGCACATCTCTTTGATTCCACTGTTCTTCCTGCATTAACATATGCCTCAGAGACCTGGGCTCTACGCAAACAGGATGAGAACACTGTTCGGGTCTCCCAAAGAGGAATTGAAAGAGCTATGCTTGGAATATCACGTTTCACTCAAATGAGAGAAAGAATCCGGAGTTCCGACCTCCGTCGACAATCAAGAATCAAGGACGCTGTCTTGTTTGCCAAGGTGTCAAAAATCAGATGGGCTGGTCACGTAATGAGATTTAAAGATGACAGCTGGACTAGAACTGTTACCGACTGGATTCCACGGGATGTCAAAAGACTGCGTGGCCGCCCACCTTCCAGATGGTCAGACTTCTTCATCAAGATCATGAACGATTGGTTTGAGGCTCTTCGTGTTCAGCGAACAGATGCCATTGGGCTACACTAGCACGCGACAGGGACAAATGGATACCTTACTAGTGTCCGCTCGAGCAAATCGATGATTAACGGGAAGTCAAGTGATCAAGTGATCTCTATCTGAGCTGGTTTTTCCCCTAGTGTGTGTGGCTGACCTCCAAGCCATGGAGTAAACCTTCTGGTACTTAAAACCTGATACTCTGCTATTCTTGGGTGTTAGTCTCCTATTTTGTTACTTTATGTTCCCCAGTTGAATGCAATCTTTATATGTCTGTCCCTCTCTTTCTGACTCATTTCGCTTAGCATGATCTTTCTATGTAGTACCACTTGTATGTAAATTTCATTACTTCATCTTTTCTAACAGCCAAATAGTACTCCATTGTGTAGATGTACCAAAGTTTCTTTAACCAGTCATCTGTTCTTTAACCAACAAATACTTGACCTCATCTGATATGAACTCATGGAACAGCATCACTGATAACCAACCTTGTAATTAAGGTCAGCTTCATTAGAT